TAGAGCACACCTGTGCCTTCAAAACTTAAGTTTTGCTTTTTTCTTTTTTCGTAAACAGGCAGAAATCTAGACTTATCTATGTACCCCAATCTGACATTTAGGGTCATTATTTAATTTTACTCTTTCTTCCTTGGCAGAGTATTTACACACCAGAAGCTTAACTCTTAATACACTGTTCTTGTGAAAAGCCTTTGGCATTTTATTACTTTCTTTGTACCTCAGTAGTTGGTCCTGAATGGGATCATCTCTGCTGCCATTCTTAACTAAGTTTTCTGAATTTACTATTTCTTTCTACTAAGTAAAAAAAAAATGCTAAGGAAAGAAACCAACTGGATGTGGAATATGACCCACAGCTTAAGCAATTTGTCATCAAGTCAGATATAGGTGCCTCCATGAAGGAGTGCAAACAATTTAATCCCTCTCATTGATGAACCTAAAATAGGAGAAATACCATTGTCATCATCATTATTATTATTATGCATTTTAAAATATTTTATTTTTTTCCCTTCTAAAATTTATGATGAATATTTTAAAATTCCTGGTCCACACTTGTGCCAAATGCCCATTAAATGGTCTTACTATGCTGAAAGTTTTAAAAACATTGTTGTAGGGGCCACTGGCATTTTAGAAATCAGAAAATGATCTGATCAGATCTGTGTTCTAGAAAGATAACTCTGCTTGTCTCCAAGTATTAACTGTATTATTGTTTTTATCATAGGATGCATTAAAAATCGGTAAGCATTTCTTTGTCTCATTTTCACAATAATATCAATTGCCCTACACCTGGCAGTCTGTATAATGAACATATGCTAGAGATTACAAATTTGTCAGAGAAGAGAATAGGGGTGTAGAAAAGAGTAAAAGAAATATAACATGTCAATTCCTTAATACCTGTGCCTCATTTCTTAACCTGAATTGTAATTGCATCTCATTTTAATATGAGGACTGTGCCATAGCTACCAGCCCTATAGTTTTCAAAGGAAGTAAACTTCCATGGAATAAAAAAGTTTCTCCCGTAGAAGCCCTGATGTAGCATTTGAAAAGCATACGAACTGTCATCAAAAGTTATTAACACCGGACAGTTATATAATCCAGTCACTGTACATTGAAGAACTGTACATTCTTAGGTACCAAAAAAGATAGTACCTTGGAGTGTAAATAATCTAATAAGATAATGTAAGCCTTATTAGATAATGTAAGCGAATTCTGTAGTAGTCTTCAGATACTACAGAGAGAATCCTATTTAATAAAGAATGTCTTTGAAGGAGGCTTATGAGATTGGGCATGTCATCCTTCTTAAGTAAGATATGCATACTTTTCCAAAAGTGTAATTGTATGAGACAGTCACACTTGGGCCACAAATAGCTTTTGCTTTTTAAGCATTGTAGTTGATTGCCACAATACTATCAGTTGCCACTCCATTTTAATTCTTCTCTTTAATGCTAGATTAGTTCATCAAGAGACTGAGATGTTATAATAATGATGGATCGGACTAAAAGCATATGGGTTTCATGAAATTCCTCCCACTTCATAAGGTTTTGTCATATTAACCTTTCAGGATGTATTGGGCCTTAAGAATAGATGAGAGTAGTCACACGTTTTGAAGCCCTACGTTTAGGGCTGATTATTGGAGCACACTGACTGGATTAATGTTTAACAGTGGCTGCCCTGTGGATTCACTTAGGAAGTTGGGAGAAGGCAATTTTCTTCTACTTTATTGGAGTGGCTTTATTGCACAATTAATTAAGACCTGCTTAAGAATAGCCTTCAGCATAGAGCTGGGGAAGGGAAAGCCTTTAGAACAATACAAATATGGTAGTGAATCTGTTTTCATGGCTGAAATAGCTACTTTTACCCAGTTTGGATTAATGAGATCAGATTTGATGTTGCTTTCTGGGTAGAGCACTAATACTAAGAAACGACTCATTTTCTAGACCATATTCTGGGTTTTCAAAGTTTCTAGGTGCTATTCAAGAACTGACCTTGTATAGTAAATTCATATGCAGTTCAGTTTTTCATGTTTTTCTCTAATTATGATGTGTACATAGACATAAAACATATGTATACAGTTTAAAAAATAATTATAATGTGAACACTCAGGTAATCACCACTCAGATCAAGAAAAATGACCAGCATTCCAGAAACCCCACCCTCACCATGTGCTCCCTCCAGATGGCGACCTCCTCTCTCCTCTGGGTAGCTACTGCCTTTGCTCTTGTCGTTTTCTTGTTTCTCTTTGTCATGTGGTTGCTTACTTTTGTATCCTAAAATGATGTCTTTTAGGGTTGCCAGGTTTTGAACTTACACGAACAGAATCATGTTATGTGCTCTATTGTGTCTGGCATCTTTCACTCAGCGTTACGTTGTGAGAGTTTATCCATGTGATTGCTCTCCAGTGCAGTTTTTAAAAAGCCTATTCTATATTTACCTCTCTCCCCTTTTGGCTTAGGATCCCTGTAACTCTAAATGCTTTCAGATATTTCTATTTTGCCTTCTTGGATTTACTGCTAAATGAAGTCTGAAGACTAAAACTTGCCTGGACCCCGGTGTTCTGAACTGACCCGACTGCCCCCAGTTTGATGGCATTTGTTTACATGAGACTACATCTTTAAGGCTTCTGTGCTCGGTTAAAAATCTTCCTTTCACCAAGGCTGGTCCAAGGGTCTGGTCACGTGATTCCAACAGTGACATCACATTCTGACCGCTGGGAACACTGGTGGTTCTTTAGGTGGCGTTTGTTGCTGTGAAAGGCAGAGAACGCAGCAAGTGCTCCTCTAAGGCAGTTCATACTGGGGCTCCTTCTGTAAAAGCTCTTCAACCTAAATGACCAAATGCGGGCCGCCAAGGTTATTTCTTCCTTGAGGCAGAAAAAAAGAAAGCTGTGATTGAAGGTAAGCAGACTTAAGCCTGGCCAAGGACCGAAGCGTGACCCCAGGGAGAAGGGGATCTGGAGAATCACAAGCAGTCTGTTGTCGGATTCTAATCACTGCCTGCTCTTTTAGAGCCGCCTGACAATTTGCGTTTCTAACAGGAGACTATCTACAAAGAAGGATGATGCAGTGCTCATGTTACCTAGTGATGTAATAGGATTCTTTCTTTCCTGTTAGGAAGCTGTTGCAGATCTTCATTTTGTCTTAATATCCTTAGAGCTGGGGACCGCATTAGGTATATGGTGTAACATTAGATAGCTGTGGGATGCTTTTAAAAACCAGTTTCACAAAATCCTTTTCTAATTTTCCTGAAAGGAGCACTCTTAAACCAGAGCAAATTCAATTGAGACATGAACCTGCTTTAAAAAAGTAAATTTCTGGTTGTTTGGTGTCCTGTGTTGGTGTCAGCATTTGTCTTGAGAATTGAAACGGCTTGTTTCTCCCCGCCCCATGTACTTTATTCTCTTTCTGCCCTCATTTCCTAGCTGGCTGTTTCCCTCCAAGCTCTCAAACAACACACCAACATTAATCTTTATCAGTATGCCACTGACATGATAGGAAATGCTGGGCTGCTGATTCAGCAGCCAACCATTTTACAGCCAGGTATGCTTGAAGATATGGAAAGGACTTTGGTAGGGGTTTTAAGATTAACTTGTTTACCTCCTCTGCTCCGACCCTACCCCCACCCCACCCTCAATATGATTTGGATTTGATTTGGATTTTGCAGAGCTTTTCTTTTCAAATGTGTGTGTTGCTTGTAAAAGGTAGGATGAATTAGGTATTTGGAAGACTTACGATTTGTAAACCAGATACAGCTTGGGTGTTAATTCAAACTTACCCTGTAAGAGTGCTGAAGTTGTCTGTTAGGAGTTGAGAGTGAAGATGGGGATGCAGATGAGGGGAGCGGGGGTCAGCTCAGGCTCCCTTTGGCCTTCTCTGCAGAGGGATTCATCACCAAACAGTCTAGATAAAGCCTTGTCCCTGCCAAGGTTGATGCTGCAAATGTGAGCTTTGGCTGTTTGAGTTCAATGATGGCATTACTGTGCATTTTCCCTCAGTGTATATTTGCATAAATTCCTGAATACTGTTTTACATTTTGTGTTTAATAGCGAAATAGCGAAACATTGTTCCACCAGAGGATTGTGGTAATATTTTGAATTAAGCCATACTAAGTGACCTGGTGTGACTACAACATCTGAGTGTGAATACTTCTCCCTCATCCCCACTGTTCATCAAACAAGCTTTGGTTCAGCTGATATTTATTGAGTCTTGGATGTGTGCTAGACACTGGAGAAGGCAATGATGAATCAGATATAGGCTGCCCTCAAAGAGCTTCTAGTCTGGAAAGGAAGATAAAGTATTTGCATAACTAATTGTAATAGAAGCACTAAAAGCGAAACAGATAAAGGACTGTGATGGTTGGGCAAATGGGTATGTTTGTTTCAGTTGAAGGATCAGAGAGGGACATTTCATCACTGAGCCATGCACTGTTCCTTAAATCTCTACCTGTAAATCTTAGACTGTTCTGACATACTCAGTAAAAGTTTCTATAAGCCCGTTACATCAAGGATCAAAGTCTTATAGCTATTGAAGGAAAATATCTACATTCTAGCCAGCTTAACTCTTGAAGAGCCTGACATGTTTCTTTGGAGTCCCCACTCAAAGCTACCTCCTAGGATTGAATTACTACCATATAAATGTCAAATGGTTTCTGATATGATGTGTTTGCAAAGACCTTTGACCCTTTGGTCTCCCTTCCACAAGAGAAACTGAGATACCTAAGTTACTCCAAGCTCCCCATCTTTTGTTTCATAAATCCTTTCCCACTGCACTTTGGCTCCTGTTGATTCTCTTTGTACTGTCACTCTCATCTGTCCCTTTCCATTCACACTGCCTTAAGACACTTGTCATTTTGTGCCTAGACCACAGAAACCTCTGAATGTGATGTATGTTCCCACCATATTGCTTTATCAGGATAGTTAAAGGGCTCACCTTTTGGTGCTCAGACAGGAGGTATGAAAAATGTCCAGAGTGTCTGAAGTACTAATGTCTGTTTCCTGTTCAATACAGAGGACAAGTCATACAATGGTGGAGGAATAGGTTCTTCAAATAGGATGATGGACTTCTTGGAAGAGCCAATCCCTGGTGTGGGGACCTATGATGATTTCAATACAATTGACTGGGTGAGAGAGAAATCTCGAGACCGGGATAGGCACCGAGAGGTAAGATGAATGGTACATGAGTAAGTGTTAGGAAACAGCAGGGGAAGAAGTTGAAAATATATATTCTTTATGTATTCTTTCCTTAAGCCCTGGATGTGGCTGAGTCTGATTTCTGTTGGCAATGTAGGGTTTTATTTTTTAACTTATTTTTAAGGCATCTTCTATATGATTTTGAGAAGAATTTATATTAAATGATGATTTATCTTCCTATAGTAAGAAGTTGAAAAGGATCCTTGCAGCCCTCAAATAGGTATAAATACCTATGCAGAGAGGTGAAAACAGACTTGGTGGAAGGGACCAAAATAAATTTCAAAGATCTTCATTCCCTATCTTATCTTCCTTTTATGGTTTTCCTTTGAAGCAGGATTTTTAGAACTAAAAAAAGTAAATGGGCTCCTTTTAAAGGAATAAAAGAAAAAAATCTCAGATCCCTAATGTTTACTGAAGCATAGAAGGTAAACTCCTTGTGATTATAGCTCCTGTACAACCATACAACCAAAGCAGATGGACGCATTCAACTCAAACAAAACCAAAAGGCCAATCAAGTTCAAATTAAAGATATTAATTTAATATTATAGGTAATAGATGGTACTTATGGCTATGGCACAGGTTCTTTTGAATTTAGCAAGAGAATTTCCCCACTTTTCTCTTTTCAAAGTACTGTGAAAATTTTCAAAGCAGTCTGCCAAGGTCATTTGCCTTTAACTTGTTGCTGTGTATCATTTAAATCAGAGAATCGCAGTTTGTAGTTTGTGTCAGGAGCACATGGAGAGCTTATCAAAAAGGTAGAGCCCCAGCCCCAGCCATCCTGATTCAGGAGGTGAACTTCTGGTAAGGCATTTCTTTAACCAACAGTTGGTATTGTTATTTTTTTCTTTCTTAATATTTCTGCTGTGACTTCAAATTTAAAATTTGATTTTTACGCTGGCCCCATTCTCTCCTGAGTTCATAATTTCCTCCTCTCAGAGCCAAGTGAATCTCCTGAGCAGTCAGGTTCAGATCATTTTTCATTCTTAAGCCTTTCCTGGCTCCTGGCTGGTTTTCTCATGGCCACCTGAACCCAGGAGTCAGGTTGTTCCAGGTGTAGGTTTTGAGAAATTCCTTTGTAATCCTTGGATTTGTGATAATCCCACTGAACTTTCTTACCATAACTAAAAAAGGTGATCTCTATAAAATGTTCTATGTTTTTCATAAAGTTTCTACTATTTGGGAACTCACATACATATTCTTTCTATCTATCATATCAATTCATCATGCAGGCTTTAAAAGTTAGAATCATATGGCTTTAGAATTTCTCCTATCTGTAATTCAGAGTTCAGTTTGTCATCAGTTGCATATTCAACATGTTATTCACATTGTGAAAATCACCTGTGATATGACAAGGGCATATTTCCCATTATAGTAAAAAGGTGGCATCTGAGACAAATTATTCAAAGTAATAATTCAAAATCAATTAAAATGTGTGTTCACTGAAATCAGAAATCTCAAGAGTCCCTTGCACCCCTATGTTCATCGCAGCATTATTTACAATCGCCAAGACGTGGAACCAACCTACATGCCCAGAAACTGATGATTGGATAAAGAAGATATGGTATATATACACAATGGAATACTACTCAGCCATAAAAAAAGACAAAATTGGCCCATTCGCAGCAATGTGGATGGACCTCGAGGGTATTATGTTAAGCGAAATAAGCCAGTCAGAGAAAGACGAACTCTATATGACTCCACTCATAGGTGGAAGTTAACATATTGACAAGGAGATCTGATAGGTGGTTACCAGGGAAAAGGGGGGGTGGGGGGAGGGCACAAAGGGGGAAGAGGTGTACCCACAACATGACTAACAATAATGTACAACTGAAAGCTCACAAGGTTGTAATCTATCATAACATTAATAAAAAAATAAATAAAAAATAAAATAAAATTTAAAAAAATGTGTGTTCAAAGGGGATTTTTTAAGCATTAACTTTTTATCATCAGAACGGAAACTGTCACAGGGAAAAATGTCACCTCATCTACTTTCAGCCCTGAAACTGGAAACTTAAAAGTCATAGGTCAAAATAAATTCTTAAATTGCTTTTACAATTTCTATAATTTATTGTTATTATTTGCAGTGTTGCTATAGATGAAAATGGGTAGCTAAGTCACAGTTTCAAAGATAAGAAGTAGAGATACAGAAAAGGGGGAACTACCAATGACAAAGCTCTCAGAATGCTTGGTTTTGAAACGTGGGCACTGAGGGTTGAATTGAAAAAGCTAGGACCTAAAAGGTAAAACTTTCTGCACCTCTTGATAGCCTCAGATATTCCCAGCAGGTTTTTGAAAATAAAGAGCTATATCCCTGATATCATTTACTGTCTATGATCAATGTATAGTTAGGGGTCTGTGGGATCCAGTCTTGGAATTTGCCTGACCTGAAGCACAGCCCCAGATAGTAAACCTCAGATTGTACTTTCACCATTCAAATAAGCCCATGTTTGTTTATTCTTTGAAAAACAATCAAACTGTTTTCCTGTGAGTCAAGAGACCATCCTTAGAATATCTGATGTCCAGGGCAGAAAGAGACCACTGCAATAAGCAAAACCGATTGATGCTATAAGAAATTAGCAGCTGAATGGGGAAGCCCTGAATAAGGTGCTTGCAGGCATTGCAATACTGTAGGTGAAGGTGGGATTCAGTAAGACAAGGTCCAATAAATCTCAAAGTTCTTGGTGATGTTAGTTCAGCCCAAGATTATGTGAGAAGTAACTCCAAATTGTTCTCTATTCCCAATGAATAGATTTGAGAAGTAACTCCAAGTTGGTCTCTATGCTCAATGAATAGATTTGTCTTTGTGTTTCCTTACTTTATTGCACATTTTGAGGTGAAAAAGTAAGGGTATATGTAGAGTGTACCAATGTTTTCTCATTTCTCCCTAGATTACCAATAAAAGCAAAGAGTCCACATGGGCCTTAATTCACAGTGTGAGTGATGCTTTTTCTGGCTGGTTGTTGATGCTACTTATTGGGCTTTTATCAGGTATGGTAAACTATGTTAGTTTTCTAAACAAATCTCCTAAAATTGTGGCGTGCCCCTCCCCCAAGTCATGAACCTAGTTGAGCGTTTGCTTTATTGTTTTCCTATGTGACATGAATTACTGGTGGACCTTTTGGAAGCTTGATGTCCCCATCCATAAAGGGGTACTAATACCTGCATCTCCTTCCTTAAGTAAGTGAGATGAAATGAGGAAATGCATTTAAATGCATTTGTATGCTATGAAGTATTTTATCCATTTTAGGATGCTGCCTTTTGGTGCTGGTCTTGAAGAAGAACTCCTCTGTTGGAGACAGTTTTTTTAAAAAAAAAAAAAAACACATACTGCATGGGGTTTAGGAGAGAAGATGTAGAAGAGGACTTCCTGAGAGATTTTTGTAGCTATTTCTTAAACATCTACTCTCTCATTTGGTGGTAAAGAAAAGCATGTAAGATATGGCTCATACCCTCAAGGAGCTTATAATCTCATTCTTTCATGGTGGCTGAGGAGTGGGATGGTACCACCATTTCCTGTCATCTTCATCAACCTCCCAAGTCACTCCAGTCTAACTAGGATTAGTACATATGCTATGCAAATATAGCTTTAAATCAAATTCCCGAGCAGGCTTCCTCTCCTATGGGAGAAGCAGAAAGCCAAGAATACCAGGAAGAGATGCTAAGAGTTGTACATTATGGCATTAAAAGATGGGACTAGGAAGATCTGGAATATGGAGCTAAAATAGAAGTCAGGTGGGAAACCTGGAGCTGGATGGGATAAAATGGCAGTTAATAGCAACAGGCTTTAGTTTGTGGCTACCTGGATCTGAATCCCAGCCCTTTGCTAATTTTGTGACTTTTGACAAGTTTCTTAACCCTTGGAAGCTGTAGTTTACTGATCTGTAAAATGGGGATAATAAGAGTACCTATATTATATATTCGTTGTGAGGATTAAATGAGATACAGCACACATAGCACTCAGCACAGTGCTCAGTTATTAACGATGCTGCTGCTGCTGTTACATAGCGATAATTCATGAGCCATGGAGTATAAGATGATTGCTGCAAATGAGGAATGGCTCATCCATAGCTGGGTTTTCAAAGATTATCTAGGGCAGGGGTCAGCAAGCTTTTTCTGTAAAGGGCCAGATAGTAAATCTTTTAGGATTTGTGGGCCACATGGTCTTGTAGCGGGAAAGCAGCCATAGACAATAGGTAAACAAATGAGTGGGGCTGTGACCAAGAGAAACTTTTATTTACAAACATAGAGGCAGATTTGACCCTCGGGCCATAGTTTGCCAACCTGTGGTCCAGAGTATTAACACTGCTCCTTCTGGCTCACACAGTACAGAGCTGGCTAATAATAGGCTGGGTGGTCTGTAATGCCAAGTATTGCAGAGAGGCTGAAGAGAAGGAAGAGGGCTGAGAATGAGTTATATAGTTTAGCAGTTAGGAGAATACCAATGATCTTGAAAAACCATCTCAGGTAAATATTAGGAGCCAGATTTCAAGGGGAAGCAACCAGTATAGAGGTTCTGGAGGTATTTGGTGGTCACTGGAAGGAGAGAAGGGACAGAAGCTTAGAATGGTAACAGGGACAGGGGAAGGCATTTTATTCTTTAGGGTAGGGGAAACTTGGTAAAATTTGTAACCAGGGAAGAAAGAGCCAATTGGAAAAAGAAGGAGGAGAAGTAGAAGTCGAAGGGAAGATAGAATTGAGGGTACCAGTGTTGGGTAGAATATGACATGCACACGTGGAACCACCAGAGAACAAGCCAAACTCTCTAACATCATGTTAAATTTCTGAATCCAGACAATAAGTGCAGTAAGATTTAGAAGGAAGAGAAGGTGGAGGCCGGAGTGGCCAAGAGTAGGTGTCAAACAATGTGTTAGATTTGACTAGGTTATTCAAGTATGTAAATAACCTGTGTTAACACTTTTAGCACCTACCAAAACATACACATGACATGGCCTCCAGCCTGTTGGAATATAGGTGTAATATCCTCAACTTTTTAATGTATTTCTTGTCACTAGGTGGTCAGTGAATATTTTTCTTTCCCTCATACACACAGGGTATTTTGTATTTTAAGCATCAGAGAGCAACAATAGAGGCAGTGTGTCTGAATTCAGGAACAGTCTGGGAATTCAGGGGCTGTGAATTTTATGATGTCTTTGCTATTTCCCTACAGCACAATTCTAGACCATTTAATTTCTTTATGCCAGAGTTTCTTGGTCTGGACTACAGAAATGATGAGAAGGCCAGAATCAAAAGTACTATAACTGTCTGAACTCTATCAGTCTACTAGCCATAGTGCATAAGTCCCCAGTTCACTATTCATTTTCTCATAATTTCCTTTGATGTATGTTCTGTGTATAATATTGTTTGCTCCTTCCCACTAAGAAAGCCTCAGAATGTTCACATCCTAGACTCAGGAGACTTCAACATGTCTACAGCTTCCTCTAACCTTCCACGTACATCACAGTTTGTGCTTTTATAGATTCGGTTCCCTTAGCCTAGAACGCCTTCCTGCCAGCAGCTCAGATTCCCTTGTCCATGGAGAAAAATCGCTATTAGGACTGAGCCCTTCTCCCCATAGTCTTCAGCTCCCCTTAGCAAGCCATCTCAAATAAATATCATATAATATTCTTCAATGTGGGAAATTCACATTTTCTCAATCTTATGTATATAGTGAGAATAAAATAATCTTTAATAAACTTAACGGTCTTTATGGATCAGTATTCATCAACTCTCAGTCAAAGCAGAGTCTTTGCCACGTAAATCAGCTAACAGTCAAATCCACTTGCCCCTTGCTCCCATCCAACCACATTGCACTGCCCTAAGATTGCCCTATATAGAAATTCCACAGACACGGTGTTTAATGCAGACGATGTTTTGTTTTTTTCCCCTCCTGAACAGGCATTTAATGTTAAAATAGGTGGAATATATGAGAGATTATGGGTGAAAATCAAGCAGACAGACAACTAGAAAAAAGTTGCAGATGGAATGGGAAAGCATACGTTTGTCCGTTATTTTAATTCTTCTTCCCTCGTTTTCTTTGACAACTTTGGCCTTTCCTTTCCTCCCCTCAAATCAGGTTCCCTAGCTGGCTTGATAGACATTTCTGCTCATTGGATGACAGACTTAAAAGAAGGTATATGCACAGGGGGATTATGGTTTAACCATGAACACTGTTGCTGGAACTCCGAGCATGTCACCTTTGAAGACAGAGACAAATGTCCAGAGTGGAATAGCTGGTCCCAGCTTATCATCAGCACGGACGAGGTAATGTGTAGCGGGGATTTCTGAACCACTGACTTTTATTCTTACATTTACTTCATTTCTTATGCTGTACTTGTGGCAACTGTGGGATCTTCCCCTATTTTCCTTTTCATGAAAAGGGGAACCAATGCCAGCTGTCTTTCTCTGTGGTTTAAGTGTAGCCCTATTTTCATCTCTTTTGGCATGTGGAATTGTTTGATGCTTACGCAATGACTTAAAATTTTTGTTTTAAATTTTGTTTTAAACAAGCCTAGTATTTCTTCTTGGTTGTTAGTACACAGTGTAACTGAATCTATCTTTCTCTAATAATTTCAGTAGAAATGTCAGAGCCAGCCAACAGGTAAGCTATTTCTAACAAAGGATGGAGTGGGTTAAAAATGTGTTTATCATATAGACTCCAAAAGTAATTTTTCCCTGAGCATTACCTTACAACATTCAAAAAATTATGATACTTTCTATATCAAAAGAACAAAACCCAGGAATAAAATTGCCCCTAGTCTCATTTTGAGATTAAATCAATGCTTTCATTTGTCCAATTTGAAATGAACATTTGTTCAAATGTTTTCATTTGATTTCATTGTCTTCTAGCCTATGGTTTTCAATGCAAAAGTAATGTTGTTTTTCAGCTCCTTACCTTTCTATTACCACTCAGTTGTACGTTAGATCTCTCCTACTAAAAACACACAAAACAAAATAATTCTCAATTCCCAATTCTACTCTGACTTCTACCAACTAAAACAGGTACCCTCTTGGCTCACTGCCCATCCACTCTATTAGTGAAGTGAAGGGGACAAGACTAGGATATATGTTTGTACTTTTAAAATTTATTTTTATACCTACTTTGGTCCACAGTTTGAAATGGCACACAGAATCAGTCAAGGGGAAAGAAGGATAGGAAAATAATAAAGTCAGGAATAAGAGTGTTTAAGTACACATATGACTATGCAATATTGACTTGGGGAAAGAGTTCAGTAAAAGGAGTAGATCCATACTACATGTGAGGGAGGGTTGAAGTCTATGCTTTTCAAACTGGGATAAGGACAGCGTGCCAGAGGGTAGGTGAAACCACGGGGCAAAAGCTATGTACCTTCCCAGAATATCAGTTTTTCCTGAATATTTGGAAGAATTTTTTTTTAAAAATTACATTTAATTAAAAAGGATTGCAAAATTCCCATGTTTGTTAAGATAAAACATAATCTCTATTTCAGCTCTACTCCTGGGTACCCCACCCCTTATCCTCTCTCCTAGATTAGGAGTACTTGGGTAGAAAAGTTTGAGAAGCCCTGGAATTTAGGGTGAGTCTGTGTGTGTATGTGTATGAGATTCCCTTGCTTTTTTTTTGACTCTTGTATTTTTGGAGTAATTACAGATTCACAGGAAGTTGCAAAACAAGGTACAGGGAGGTCCCCCCCATATATCCTTCACCCAGCCTCCCCCAACGGTAACATCTTATGTAACTATAGTACAATAGCAAAACAAGGAAATTGATATTGGTACAATCCACAGACCTTATTTCACCAGTTTTACGGGCATAGATGTGTGTGTGTGTGTGTGTGTGTGTGTGTGTGTGTGTGTGTAGTTCTCTGAAGTTTTATCACATGTGTAGATTTATGTAACCACCACCACAATCAAGATAGAGAACTATTGTTCCATCACCACAAAGCCCCCCCTTATAGCTCTGTGTGTGTGTGTGTGTGTGTGTGTGTGTTTGTGTTTGTGTTTGTGTTTGTGTTCCAACCATAACTTTCAAACTGGAGCTTGACATTTACTCAAGTGACACATTTCTCTGGCTCTCCTCTTTATGAATCAAATCCTTGCTTGGGGGAAGAGCTTTCTAGGTTTTAAGAAGAGTTCTCCTGCCAAGAATTTGGCCTCCTGGTCTCTGCCTCTAGCCAGGTTCAGCTGCTTTCTCTTTCACTCCCTTCCCCTCTTTGTTTCCTACCTCTGGAGGCTTCTTCCTCCGTAGCTACATTTGAAAGACCAAGAGAAAGCAATTATTTGTTCCTCTGAGGGACTAAGATAATGGAAAACCTGTGTCAAAATTATAACTCAGAAAAAAACCTGAGCATTTTAGTTCTCCTAGTTTAGCTCGGTGAATTATTTTAATAATGTTTATGTTTTAAAAAGTCAAAAGTCCATTGAATTTTGTGTTTTGTGTAATTTGAGTGAGTTTCAACTTCTAATATTTCAATCAGCGAGCATAACCTCCTAATGTTCAAAATACCTTTTTTGGAAGGCATAACTATTTGCAAGCCCTTGATGTTGGTGAATCCTTATTAGTGTTCAAAATTAGATTTGTTTTCTGGCAGACTTCATTATCACTGGGGGATAGTCTTAAAAGTATATTTTCTCCATTAAAAAAAATAGCTCTTGCTGTTTTATTCTTGGGGATATCTGGCATCTCACGGGCTTAGTTTTATGGCCAGAGGCTGAAACTTTCTACTGTACTTGTTGCTGAGTCTGTGGTAGAAAAATTCTCTCATAGATGTGGTCGTTCTCTACAGAACTTAATTGTGTATTTTAAGAAAAACACTCAGGAATTTTAGACACTATAATCTCCTGGGAGAATCTGACACCAAAGTAGGTAGCTAGCCGCTCTTCACTTGAAATGTGTAATAGCCAGTATTCAGCCATTCCAATGAAAGAGCTGTTAAGACTTAATAAAATTGACATAGAATCGTATATATTTGACTACAACACTAATGAAAGCGCTTATATAGAAAGTGAATTCACTTCAGGGTTCTGTTTGCTCTTTGTTCTTGTCCATCCTTCGAAGCTGCTGTCATTTTACTTTGTGTGTACCAAAGCCTCCTACTTTTAGTAGCAAGCGGCTGTTTCAGTAGTTGCTTTGCTGACTATCTGGAAGGTACATCTTCAGCAGTTTAATAATGGTGTTTTTCTTTCTGACTCTCTCTCCTGAAAACCCATTACTGAGAAGAGCTGCATGCCTCACTGAGGCTGTCTGGGCTAAAAGAAGTTTCTTTCTTTTTTCCCTGTTCCAGGGAGCCTTTGCCTACATAGTCAATTACTTCATGTACGTCCTCTGGGCTCTCCTGTTTGCCTTCCTTGCTGTATCTCTTGTCAAGGTGTTTGCGCCTTATGCCTGTGGCTCTGGAATCCCTGAGGTGAGTCTCTAAAATGGCTTATAAATGGTAACAATAATGAATCCTTTTTGGTTAAAATCCTTTAATATGTGTTGCAGCGTATAGCACAATGTGGATATTAAATAGGATCGGACCCTGAGGCAATCTCGGGCCTCTCTAGGTCTTCCCTCAAGTCTCCTCCCAGCCTGGGCCACGTGGACATTAAAGGGAGGCGATTCCAAGCCTCCTGAGGGGTTCCTGGTGAGCCAGGCCCCTGAGGACCTCCCCAACTCCCTACCCAAGAAGTTCCCAGGGTAGAGCCTAAGATTCTGGCCTGAAAAAGGAGTGGTGTCGTCAACTTTGTTAGGGCAAAAGCTCTAAAACTATTTTGCTACATTTCCAAGAATATGAGTTGGGCTAGAAGGAGGGTGATTACAACCCTGTTTTTAACTACTTTTGGTTTAGATTGCTTGACATTGACTGAAACCACTGAGATTTTAGGTTACCCGGATGACCTTGCCCCTCTCTGTTTCCTGAGCAAGCCATAGTTACAAAGTTCTTTGGCAGAGAATCAAGGCTATACTAGCTTGTAAAAATGTAAGTAAGGAAAACACCCTCCCTCTCTGCCTCCTCTTTGCCATATACACACTCTCATACTTACCATACTCCCTTGCCCAGCTATCACATGGCCAAAGAAAAGGAATGTGAAAGCTTAAAGAACAGCTTTTGCCTTCTTGGGGTCCTGGGCTCCCTCCCAAACTGGGATCACTGTAAGTTAAGCATTTACATGTCACTTGTTCAAAAGGTGCAGTTTCCATAGTGAGGTCCAGATTATTGCTTCTTAGCCTTGTTTACTTGCTTGGTCTATATTCAATCTCTCTGTGTTTGACCTGCAGATAAAAACTATCTTGAGTGGTTTCATTATTAGGGGCTATTTGGGTAAGTGGACCCTGATTATCAAAACCATCACATTGGTGCTGGCAGTGTCATCTGGCTTGAGCCTGGGCAAAGAGGGTCCCCTAGTGCACGTGGCTTGCTGCTGTGGGAACATCCTGTGCCACTGCTTCAACAAGTACAGGAAGAATGAAGCCAAGCGCAGAGAGGTAATAACAAATGGCCTTAATAGTCTCTTTTTTAGTGAGACCATAAATGGTGCAATCTTAGGGATGAGAATTTGAGAATTCTGCCAATGTTAATGCAGATAACCCTTTGACCCAGCAGTTCCACTTCTGGGAATTTATCCTACAGCCATCCTAGCATGGGTGTGCACAAAGCTGTGTGGGGATAGTCAGTGCAGCATTCGCCAACATAGTGAAAAATGGAATCAAAATGTCCATCAACAGGGGACTGATTGCACAATATTCTGTTCATACTATAGAATACTATGCAACCATGAAAAAGAATGAGATAGCCCTATATATACTGGCATGGAATGATGGCTATAAATTCATTGAATTTCAAAAGGCAATTTCGGAATAATGTGTATAGTATAATTCAATTAATGTTTTCTAAAAGTGTGTATATATGCACCTAGTAAGAAAATGTCTGGAAAGTGGTTTTACCCCAAACTGTTAAAAATGTCTGCCTCTGGTGAGTGGGAAAGTGAGGTGGTGGTAAAGGAGAAATAAGGACTTTTAAAATTATATATAATCCTATGCTAGTGTGCACTGTTTCTATTACAAAATAGGTTACAAAAATAGTACAAGATTGTTTTAAGTTGTTTATTCCTGCGAGGGAATATAAATTCAGCCTGTGTTTCGGATGCCAGCTTTTTTATCTTTTATTTCTATCTAACACTGCCCTGAATTAGTTTCTCTCTGTGTTGGATCTCTCTCTGCCTTCTGCTTCAGCTCCGCTACATTAGTCCCACTGCAGCATCTCTGTGGTTGTTCTCATGTTTATGCAGTTGTTAATGCATATTATTTTGAGGAGGAAGAGCATTTTTTAAAAATTGTTCCGAGTCATTGGTTACTTTTGTCCTGCTATAATTAAGGACTTAGAAAAACAATGCTTCTTGCTCTATTTTCCCTGAATTACAAAGAAATCACATATAGAATGGGTCAAGACCGGGGTCGTTTCATTAGAAAAGACTTTTCACAAAATTGGAACCTACTGATTTATTCTGAAACAAAACCAAACCAAATTAACCATAAGAGCCAGACAGAAACTCAAAGATGTTGAAATTTCCAATATGGAGTACATTTTGATAGTTTAAGGAGGAGAGTTCCTGGCAGGAGAGGAAGGCTAGCAGGAGGAAGAGAGGCGAAATCTGAGTAGGTTTAGCTACCTGTCTAACGGTGGAGGGACGTAAACGCAGTATTAAATTCGTGAGGTTGTCAGACAGGAATAATGTACAACAGAAGCTAAAGAGTTGAAAAAAAAAAACGTTTTAACTGGCAAGAGTAAAGTGTTGATTGTTGCTGGTTTTGCCTGGGTAGAGGTGAATCAAAACTCAGCATACAGTTTGCTTTCAAAGTAAATATGAATTGAACTTCATTTTTGATGAACTGGATATGGAGCATGTAAACTTTTTTTTTTTTTTTAATGTTTAGTAACCACTAACCTTCCTTTTAAAAATGTGATTGAAGATAGGAAAGGGGCATTATTCTATCGCTAATTTTGACTTTTGGATTGTAGGTCTTGTCGGCTGCAGCAGCAGCTGGTGTGTCTGTAGCCTTTGGGGCACCTATCGGCGGAGTATTATTCAGCCTAGAAGAGGTAACTACTTTTAACTGTCTGTAGAGCATGCACATGCGCATGCTTGTGTGTCAGGAATTCTAGCCAGCGTCTCTGTACACGGCAGTCCTGACGTGTTCTGCCCAACACAGTGCTTTACCGTGCGACCAGAGATCTCTGGGCAGTTTTCATCCTCAACTCTAATTTCTGCAGCACCAGCTTTTGACTCAAAATAGTTTCTGCATATTGATTGAGTTTACTTTCTCACCTTCTCTCTCATAGGTCAGCTACTATTTTCCCCTCAAAACATTGTGGCGTTCGTTCTTTGCTGCCTTGGTGGCAGCGTTTACTCTACGCTCTATCAATCCGTTTGGGAACAGCCGCCTGGTCCTGTTTTACGTGGAGTTTCACACCCCATGGCATCTCTTTGAGCTTGTGCCATTTATTCTGCTGGGCATATTTGGTGGTCTGTGGGGAGCTCTGTTTATCCGCACAAACATTGCCTGGTGTCGGAAGCGTAAGACCACCCAGTTGGGCAAGTATCCTGTCGTAGAGGTACTCGTCGTGACAGCCATCACTGCCATCCTGGCTTTCCCCAATGAATACACCCGTATGAGCACCAGTGAGCTCATTTCTGAGCTGTTTAATGACTGTGGCCTTCTGGACTCCTCCAAGCTCTGTGATTATGAGAACCGTTTCAACACAAGCAAGGGGGGCGAGCTGCCCGACAGACCAGCTGGTGTGGGAGTCTACAGCGCCATGTGGCAGCTGGCCTTGACGCTTATACTGAAAATTATCATTACTATATTCACCTTTGGCATGAAGGTGAGGAGATTCTTTTGGTACTCGGTGGATGTGTGTGTGGCTGTGGGTTTGGAGGGCAAAGCCAAGATATCATACAATCCTCATAGCTCATGTGACACTTCCAACTTCACCCAATGGTGTCCCCTACCCCCAAAAGCCATTTTTACCCCCACGTGTCCTCATAACTTCGTAGACAGTTGTATCTCTATCTAAAATTGTCCGAGCCTAGTTTTGGGCCAAATGCAAACCTCGGTGATGAGATTTTAAGTAGAAATGTTTTCTCCTTTTCTGTGGAAAACATATTTTGCCCCTCAAAAAGGATGGTGAGGTATTTATTGCAGTGCATTTTATATGAAAACAATATCTGACCAACACAGTGTTGGTCCTTATAGGGTGGATTTAGAGTTTACCAATAAAGCAGAATAATAGGTCGAACCAAATGAAATTGCCGATATTCACCCATTTTGATCGCCAAGATAGCAATTTCATATGTATCGACCCAATGTGAGGCGAAAGATATTCTTCACAGTTGGTATCAATGTCCAGTGATCAAGAGCTTTGCAGGTGATCCTAAATATTTAAACTGTCAAAAGGAGGCATCACACCAGCGAGTTTTATTTTCAGTACCCCTTATCATTTCCATCATTCAGAAGAAACCAGAAAGGAAATGTTGTTAAGGTATTTTCTTCCTCCTTCCTAGGTCTTCATTTGTTTCTTTTCTTTAGCACCCCACTACCAAGTTATCTCCCTCTATTCTCTAAGGAAACAGAGATTTAAACCAGCAACTCAGCAACTCAGTTTGGGCAGTACTGTAGTCTCTGAGATGGTGTCGTCCATCCCCCTCAATACCGTGGAAAGTTTTGCAGTGCTTCTTAAGTTAATTTTCACCTTGTGGCTTCATTCTTTCATTTAAAGTAAATTTACAGACCATCAGACCTCCACTGATTCAAATGTTTTCCAAAATCAAACAAGCTATTTTAAAATAATCTGCTGTTTTGTTTATCCATGCCATCATTTCCCTGTCTTAGCACAGAAAATTGAGAATTCACTATAGTCTCCTAGGAGTCAAAAGCAGAGCGGGGAGACAGGTGACGCTTCCTTTTTGGGATAGTCATGCGACCATGGTCACTACTTCATTTAAAAAACTTAATTATTTAATCTTCCTTTATGCTTTTACAAAATAAACTGAAACCTCGTGTGCCATCCTTTTTGTGTGAGCAATGGGTTAAGATTCAATACTGGAAAGTGGTTACGAGCATTGCATTTAAACCCAGCACCAGTATTTACTAAATCTTGGCCTTAGGTGAGTTACTAGACTTCTCCGATGCTTGTGTTCTTTGCAATTTGGGAATAGTAACACCCACATCCTGGGGTAGTTGTAAAGAACCAATGAAATCTTATGTGTAGAGCATCCAGCATAGAACACAGCAGATAGCTAATAAAGGGTAGTTGTCGTTGATAAGAATTCACAATTGGGGAAAATGTCTGCATGTATGAGAAACTCCATCTATTTTCCTTTTTCTTTGGGAAAGGCTTAATTTCTGCCTCCAGTTCTGTGTTGGTCTGGAGAGTTCAGGCTCTTGCCTGATGGACCCCGAATCAGGGTAAGATTCTTTGCAGTCGTACTTGCCTGCACGTCCCAGAGAACCTCTAGTGCCTGTAGTGTTACACAAATCTGTACAGCCACTTGCTAGCATAGTGCACAGTTAAATTGTCATTGGCCTGTTCGCTTCGCGGAGAGTCAATCCTCTAGCCCTTACCATATGCCAAGCAATCACATCATTTCTCACTAACCGTCTATTGCTTTCTCTTTGCAGATCCCTTCTGGCCTCTTTATTCCTAGCATGGCTGTTGGTGCTATAGCAGGTCGACTTTTAGGAGTAGGAATGGAACAACTGGCTTATTACCACCATGACTGGGCCATCTTCAATAGCTGGTGTAGTCAAGGAGCTGATTGCATCACCCCCGGCCTTTATGCCATGGTTGGGGCTGCAGCCTGCTTAGGTGAGTAATTAGTTTGCATTGATTTCAAAGAAGTTGCTACCTAAATGACGTAATAAGGAAGAGTGATATTAAACACAATTGACTGCAGATTATTTTTAACGACCATCCATTTCCTGTTAGGTTTGCCATTTCTCAAGTGCTTTAAGAAAGCATTCTTTACCATGTATCTACATTCCTCCCTCTTGAGAGGGAGGAATTCTTCTCTCAAATTTCATCAAATTGAGGAAATAATCAGAAATTTGAACAAAGATATCTGCATAAGAATGTTCCTCATGGTATTATTTATAATAGCAAAAAATTGGAATCAACCTACATGTGCACAGGAAGGGACCGGTTAAATAAATTATGGTACATCCATATAATGTTATACTATGCAGCCATTGAATGCAATGTTAATATGTTTAACATCTTTAAATACGATATTAAGTGAATTGGTAATAGTGCATAAAATGTTCCCTACATAAAGTGGGAGGAAAAGGCATGGTGGTAAATTAAACATGTAATATGAGCTCACCTGTGTAAGGACGTACATTTTTGTATAGTAGAAGACTTGAAAAAGTCACTCACAAGTTTTACTCTGCATATTTCTAGGCAGCGAGCTGATGGATAGTGACTTTCTTTTACACAGTTTTTAAAAAAATATTTTCTGAATTGTCCACACTGGGCCTGCATGTCCCAGAGAACCTCTTGTCCTTGTAGTGTTACACAAATGGTGGATATCTCCTGCAATTACTTTTATAATTAGGGGGGAAAAGCAACAGATAAAGGCAAAAAGAAGACGACTAGGGAAGCCTCCGTACTTTTGTAGATGTTGTTTTGGGAAAGCGGACTCGCCCGCTGGAAACTGACTTTAAACGCGGTTGCTGGGCTCTGTGCGGTTATGGGTGAGACCTCCTTTTAGCAATGCTTTTGGTAAGTAAGCTTTTCCTGAATGGGGCCTGTGACAGGCCCATAATTGTAACGAATCCTGTGCTTTTCCTGCCTTCAGTATCCTGTGTCTGTTTTTTTGCAGGCGGGGTGACTCGGATGACTGTTTCTCTTGTTGTCATAATGTTTGAGCTAACTGGTGGCTTGGAATACATTGTGCCTCTGATGGCTGCAGCCATGACAAGCAAGTGGGTGGCAGATGCTCTTGGGCGGGAGGGCATCTATGATGCCCACATCCGTCTCAATGGATACCCCTTTCTTGAAGCCAAAGAAGAGTTTGCTCATAAGACCCTGGCAATGGATGTGATGAAGCCCCGGAGAAATGATCCTTTGTTGACTGTCCTTACTCAGGACAGTATGACTGTGGAAGATGTAGAGAGCATAATCAGTGAAACCACTTACAGTGGCTTCCCAGTGGTGGTGTCCCGGGAATCCCAAAGACTTGTAGGTTTCGTCCTCCGAAGAGATCTCATTATTTCAATTGGTAAGGATTTCAGAAAGGGGATAATAGAATCCACTATGCAAATAAATAAATATATGTGAAATGAAGAAAGACAGAGGAAAGAGGGGACTAGTTGGGGGCCAGAAGAATAGAACTAGCACTTCTATTTTCAACTTTTTTTTCTACTTTTCAAATAGAAAATGCTCGGAAAAAACAGGATGGAGTTGTGAGCACTTCCGTCATTTATTTCACTGAGCATTCTCCTCCAATGCCACCATACACCCCACCCACCCTAAAGCTTCGGAACATCCTGGATCTCAGCCCTTTCACTGTGACTGACCTTACACCCATGGAGATCGTAGTGGATATCTTCCGAAAGCTGGGACTGCGGCAGTGCCTGGTTACACACAATGGGTGAGAACTCTTTGGTGAAGGCAAATTGGTTGGTGGGAGAAAAAATAATGTAGAGAGATAAAGAAGGAAGGAGAACCCAATTCAAATGAACATTAGTAGGACTTACAGGTCTTTTTGAAGTTCTGAGATGAAAATGGAAGTGTTTCTTTTATCGTCATAATTAATAGAAAAGGAGTTTGGGGAAGAATGGGTGTTTGAGGGATGTGAACTGCTGGTTGCACGCTATAAATAACTCAGTTCCTCCCCCACAAAAGAAACAGCTGTGTTCTTATGAGCAGGCAGCACTGACATTGTAATGCTATTAGGTAGTATAAGTGTAGTATTTGATTCTTACAATACCCTCATTATTATTATTTGAGGATGAGAAAACCAAGTTTGAGTGAGGTTTAAAGATTTATACAAGGGCTCTCAGTTAATATATAGTAGAGACAGGCTTTAAATGCAAGCTTTCTGATTCCCAAGGCCAAGACTCTTTCTTTCTGGGATATTTCTTATCCAGTAAAGGAAACCCTGCTATTTTTATTGGAAAAGAAGGGAGGCTGGGGAGAAGGGTGGATTTTTTTCTGAACATGGTATGTTAATCCAGCAATTATATAAGAATTTCACCCTCTAAAGTTTCTAAATGGTGTAACAGATGTCCTGCAGGATTTAAATCAGTAAGGGGACTTTCCCTAACCGAGTCATTCACCACTTACTGAATCCCTGCTTCATGTAAGAAGGTATTCCACTGGACTCTGGGAAACACAGCAATGAGTAAGACCCTCCTCTGCCCTCCAGGAGTGTGCAGTGTTGGAGGGAAGCTAAGAATACACAAGCGGGGCTAGCACAGCAGCAAACAGGACAATTGCACAGAACGTGCTGGTGCTGGGAGGAGGGCACAGTTATTGCTGGCTTGTATGATCAGGGAAGGTGTTCTAGAGGAGGGACGTTTGAGCTGGGTTGCAAAAGGTAAGTAAGATTCGTATATGTAGAGAAGAATATTTAAACCAGAGGAAATAGCAGGATCTGAGACTCAGAGCTAGAAAAGCTTGGAGCATGTTTAGGGACCGTGCATTGTCCCATTTGCCTGTTACACGTAACCTAGTCCTGTTAGCTCGTCATTCTGTAAGTACAGATAGTGTTCCAAGACGAAGTGGAAAAGGACTGAGGAGGGAAAGTGTCACCTTTGAGAATGTTATTTTAACTCCATGTTTATTTTTGTTTTGTTGTCTTGTTTTGTCTTTTAGGCGATTGCTTGGAATCATTACCAAAAAGGATGTGCTAAAGCATATAGCACAGATGGCGAACCAAGATCCTGATTCCATTCTCTTCAACTAGAATCACAGGGTTGTGCTGAATATAAACAGGAAGGACATTGCAGACCATGGATAGATTTTATTAACTGGGTACCCAAAACACATTTCCCATGTTTGGAGGGTGAAGTTATATTAGCGTGTTGTCTCTTTCCTACAAGTTAACCAGTTGCACTACATAATCTCTGGAAATTAATCTTCTCTTTAGGAGAAAATACAGTTAGGCTTCTGTGATATTGCATTAGGAAGATTTCTTGAAAGAGTAAAGCAAGATTGCTATGGTTTAATTTTTTCTTTTTTTTAAAGATTTTTTTTAAATTTAAAACGTAATTGTTAGCCAGTATGCAATCACTGAAAACTATGCAAGAAAAATTCCAACCGTCCTGACTTATAGCCTGCAGGAAACTCATGAAAAAGTCACTTTTTTGGACTCTAACTGTCATTGGTGGAAGATGAAGTGTAAACTAAGGGGCTTTGCTTTTCCAGCCACGGGAAGGAAAGCCAGAAGGAAAATAGTAATGGTATTTTCCAGACTGTGAAAATTCAGTTCAAATGTTATCTTGTTCCTGTTACAACATTTAGCATTATTAGTTTGTGTGTGTGTGTATGTTAATTTTAATATCTGATTATAAGACAATGCTGCTTTGGTTAATCTCCTCTAAATGAATTTAGAGAGGTTGCCTTTTATAGCTTGCTTGTTCCTGGTACTCTTTTGAAGTGCACAAAGATAAGTTGTAGAACTTTCTCCTTGTCCGCACAAAGGGTAATTTTCCAGATGGTATTTGTTAGCTAGTAGACAAAGACTTTGCTATGAATTTGTTAGTGGCAAGAAATGATTTCTCCAGCTTCCTTGAAACAAATGATTAGAAAAGTTCTAAGCAAAGTCAGTGACTAGGAATTTCACATTTTTGTGAGGTCCCAACTAATCCTCTTACCCAGATGCCACCTCCACGAGTGATGGTGCTTTAGGCTTCTGGAATATGTAAAAATAGTAAAGGGAACCAAGTCTAGACTGCATACTGGTCAAGCAGGGAAGATTCCGAGCTGTATCCGCATTCTCATGCATTCCTTCATAAAGACCACCAGTACTAAAATAACTGGGCACTCATGCCTCCTCCCATGAGTACATATAACAGACCAGTGTTGTCCCCATGAACATGAATTTAGGCTGGGGGTACTTTCAAATATATTCAAGGCATTGGAACAGGATAGGCAGCTGTGACTCCCTCGAGGCTCCTTAGACTTCTAGATAAAAGGTAGAACCATCCTAAGATCCAGGGACGTGAACAAGGCCTGGTGACACCAAAGGTGCTTGTATCCAATTGAAAAGGTGCCTCTCTCAATTTCCTACCCCCTTTACTGCAGTAGAACATGTCACACTAGAGAGACACCTGGTGGAATTGCAGAGCCGCCCCCATCATTCCGGCTGCTGCTTCATTGCTGAGTTTCATCCATATGCAGTTGTTCCCCCTCCATTTTTTTCCCTCCCCCAATTCCTCAGTCCTGAGTCCCCTCTTTGAAATTGAGCACTCTGCTTGGTCAATCATTCCTGTTACAAGAAATAACTCCCAGGGCTAGTTAAATTGTAAACCAAGGCTCAGCAGTCTCATGGCATCTGGACCAGAGGTAGCACACAGCCATTTGCTTTGCTCTGCAGCACAGTTGCGGATGTCTTGCCTCCAACTCCATGCCGATGCCCACAGCAGTGAGACTTAACTGCCAGGGGAGAGAGTTCAGCCTGTCCCATTTTACAAGTCTGTTCCCAGCACTTCCCGCCGTCCTTCCAGCCTGGAATCAGCAGTCCCTTGGCATATCCTCCCCTACCTTCTACCTCCCTGCCCTAAATACCTCAGTGTACCTTATTTTACCAGTTGCCGATCCCTGTTCTAGGATGTTTTACTCCTATTCTTATCCTTCCAAAATCTGAAATTCTTTTCTTGCCCAGAACTGGGTAGCCAAGTCTTATTTTGATTGTTATCTTTCAAATATCAAGGCAGTCAACAGAGTTTCTCCTTTTAAGTATACCACTCTAGCATTTTAACGAAAAAGGAAAAACTCTCTAAGTTATATCATAGTCATGACTCAGTAACTTTACATCTTTTGTCCCTTCCATGCCACTGCTTCCCTCACACGAGATGAAGCTATTTGCCTGACCACCCCTGTGTATTGTGTGGAAGTCAAAGTTCTTATCTGTATATTTCTGGTTCACTACGTATCTTTTCTTATTAGCTGCCCAACTAAAGTTTGCAAAACAGGAAATGTTAGTATTTCTGGTATGTGATGACAATGAAAGGGTTGGTCACATTTCATAGTGTAGCAGCAATATGGAGGGTGTCTAAGTTTGCCTTTATGTTTCTTCTAGGCTCTGTTTTTTATTTTAGACAGATGAGCCAGTGTTAAGGTGCTACTTCAGAGAATAAATTCAAGAAATCAGATAACACTGTGCCAAGGTATACTTTCTAGATGCTAAGCACCAGTTGGCCCTCCGGAGAATAATATCCCTTCGATACCTCACTCCTGATAAATTTCATTCATTAACCTCAGCTTCTCAGGAATTGTTGTAACTCGTATGCTAAAAGTAGCTGTAGTGTAAGGTATCCATTATATGTCCAATCCTATGGTTTGGCTCAAAGGTTGGCTAGTTGTGGCTAGAGTTCTCTGCTAGATTGCTAGCTCAGCACCTTAACACTCAGAGTTTCTTGTCTTGAGGCAAAGGAAAATGTTCTTTCTGCCATTGCCAGTTCATCAGTTGGACATACTTAACCAACAAACAAAGCTGATATAGGGAGGTCTGTCAGTAGCCTCAAATGGCCACATACTTCAAGGGCAAATAATCTGTGATTTAAGAATGGATATGAGTTGCGACTAGTCTATCTTAGAGTTAAAAAAATTGCCTCACACAAGGGAAGGATTTATGAAAGAATGCCAATAAATGCTTCAAGAGAGTAGGATTTTCCAAGGAAAACTATCTGGTAGACATCCAGCCATAAAAGGAGTGAGAGTCTATAGATTTGTAAAAGTCTAACTGCTATATTTTGTATGTTCAGATTTTCAAAGTACAGAATGAAGGAAGCTGAAATAGTTAATGCAAGATTAGTTATACCATTGGAGGGAAGAAACGGGAGACTGAAAATGCAAAATAATGGCCACTTTCAAGATCGTTTCTATTTGGATGTTTGTTAGACGCTCTCCTCTTTTCTGGCTCCAGTGTCCTTCTGGCTCAGCCCAGCTGTGGAGTAGAGGTGGTATGATCCACAGAACAGATATCCTCTGGTGGATAATCTGACATTGACAATACTTTGGATTTGCCAGCTGGCAGAGCAAACGAATAATTTGTTTTGGCACCCAAGGCTGAATCTGAACGCTTTACAGGAAGAGCAGAGCACAGTATAAATTTCTCTGGCAAGTCTTCAGTTATGTTTGAACATGACAATGGTAAAGTAATGAGGACTTAGTGTGGTCTAAGGCTACAAAGAAATTCTCAACCGTGATCTTATGAACCCGTCAGGTGTGGGGGAAGCAAATATGTTTTAAAAAACTTAGCATGCAGTAGAGTCCATCATGCAAAATAATCATTGCTGTGTGTTTCAATCACCTGGCCCGGTTGGGTCTTGATGTTGGTTTGTTTTGTTAGGTGATGAGTAGGAAGGTGAACGTGTTACCCCACAGTATCTTTTGGTTTTGTTTTTTAATAAATCACAGAGTGCAGTTTTTGGAGTTTTTAATAATTGATAGGGAAGACAGAATTGAGAATTTGAAATGGCCAGTGTGTTTTATATTACCAAAGTACTTACTGATGATTGACCACGTTGTATTGCGAGGAATCAGTTTACCTTCGCTGGATTAGAGCCAAATGCGGGCCACCCATCAGTTCAGAGAAAGCAGGAGAGCATCTTTCATAGTGCTATGTAGAGGGTTGAGCTCTTGAAAACCCTGAGAAAAATTAGAGATTTAGAAAGGAAATGAGAGGTAGAATATTGAGTACTTAAAAAAAAAAAGTCTAAGTAAGTGGTCTGAACTTAAGTGTCCTAAAGCCTTGATATTTTTTAACCACCTCTGGGATTGCCTGGATTCCCTTTGGAGAGGGAATGAAAAGTTCTGACAGTGGGAAAGCCCTTGTAGGAAAATACGTGAGTGAGTTCATGTACGATGGTGGGAGGAATGCCATCCCACACCCCAAGCCATACATTCTGGCATTTAAGAACTGCTTGATCGTGTGCCTCAAGGGGAGAAAAAGTCACGTAGTTTCCCAGAGACCAGGCTTTCCAAGCAATGGAGAGGCTCAAAGCAGCATTCAGCTAGAGGCCATCCATCTTCTCCTTTTATGGAGAAGGCTGACCCGAGACAAGACATCTGCTCATGAAGGAGGGCCGTGTCTACTGCCATTGCCTAAATGATAAGCTTTAGGTAGATAGTCTTGCATTTTGATAGCAAAATATTTTTTTAAGTCTATATTTTTAGCGTCCTTAGTATGTACTTATTGAATATTAAAAAGAAAAAGGTGTGGGTTTCTCAGATCAGAGTTCAGGGAGCTGTGTAAATTCGACGTGAAGTCGGTCTAGTGGCCCTGTGGTCACCACTCCACTTTGCTCTGCCTCAATTTCAGTTGTTTGCTCCAAGGAGAGTTCTTGGAACAGTAGGTGTTAGCGTCTTCACCTTACTCCCCAGGTGTTTGCTGGCCACAGTCTCATTTCTAACATCTGAATCTGGGAAACGTTTTGAAGTGATGTAGGGAACAAAACTGCTTTTTCCACCATGTAGTCTGATTTTGCCAAATCACCCAAGAAAGTATACGATGTGCGGAGTGTGCGTTTCTTGGATGGGACCTATCTGGTCACCCAGCTCAATCCCACAGTCATAAATTCCTACCTCTAAGTTCCTGCCAAAGGCTCTCCAGCCTCTGTGTGCACTCGTTGAATGAATGCCTTGCCTAAAGTTTGGCCTTTTAAGGAGAAATGGCATGTGATGGTATAAACATATGAGGGTTTAAAAAAATGATCTCTGCCTCTCCTTCTCTCCTTCTCTCTTTTCCCCCCCTTTCTGTCTTTCTCCTGCTCTTCTGCTTCCCCATGCGCTAAATTCAATTTTTTCTCAGTTGTTACAAGCATATTGCTTTGAATGTGGACCTTGGGTGAGGGAGAGGATCATTCTAAAAATAGAGAATGGAAGATACTTCTGAGTTGATAGGGCCAAAAGGGCTTTGCTCCACTGTAGAGGCTGAAGCCAACGGTATTTGTTGAGACTGTCGAGGGCTTTAGCATCTCGTTGCAGACATATGAAGTATTCATTGCTAAACCATATTAGTATCTACTAGTCCAATTCTCTTGAAAGTCAAAGGCAGTCTAGGATTTGGTGAGTGAAATGCCATCTGGCAAAGTGGGGTGGCGAGGGTGGCCTGAGATGGTTTTATCAGGGTGGGAACGTTCAGCCTCATTTTCATTTGAGTGTACCTCAAAGCATATGGTCCTTCACGAGTGCTCCTTTTCACTCCTCCATTTCACTTTATCCTTTCTTCTCTCTCCTTTCTCTCCCATTGTCCTGCCTTTTTAGTACTCAGCTTTTTTTTATAAGTATTTACTATTTTATTATATATTTCGTCCTTTGGGACTGTGTAATGACTAAGAATTAATTTCATTCTAGATAGAAAATGATGTGTTTTTAATATTTTGTTCTCTTAAACTGTCTTTTGAAGCTATGCTGCTAACCAGGTACAGGCCAGAAGGGAGTTGGGCCTGACAGACAACACCCTAGTCTTGTCACCTAAGGATGACACTGATGTCATCATGGTCACTCTTCTTCATTTGACCAAGGCCAGCCTCCTGCTCTTACCTCTGTCCATTCATTTCTGGCTATGGGAAAAATACCACCTGTTGGGTGAGCCGATGAGGCCAGGAGGATCAGAGGGGCCAGGTCCCGCTCATGGGCCACTGTATGAATATCTGTAACAAGCTCATTTGTAGGGCCGGCTCCAGCTGCAGTAGCCAAAGAAAACCTGTCTGTCTGGACATTTTAGTTCTGAAGAGTTGGTAAAAGTTCAGCTGAAGCTAATGTATAGACATCAGCAGTAGCTAGGCATCCAGAAACTAGCGTCAACCAAAGCTAAGAGAGCCTGAGTTTCCACAGGAAGCTTGGTGCTGAGCTGTTCAGAGCAATTATTTATCTGAGTGTTGCCAACCCTTTAGTCATGCTTTCTTAGCTTTATTCTAACTTTTAGAGATGTTGGTTCCTGTTCATAGGTACAGCCTGTACCAAAGCTGTGGCTCACTGCTCATTTCATTCTGCTCCCTGGTCATGCATAGCAACATAGTCTAAAAAGGAAGACATGGGCTGGGGAGTTAGGAGACCTGGTTTCTATTTCCTATGCTTCTACTAACTAGCCTCGAGATCTTAACCGCTCTGTGCCTCAGTGTTCCCATCTGCAAAATGGGGATAGTGTTAATTGCCCTACCTACCTCACAGGGTTGTTGTGAGGATAAACTGAGAGAATGAATGGAAAGTACTTTGACAAGTAAGTGCTATGCAAATTGTAAGAAATGGAAACAATCATGTTAAAGGCAATGGAATGGACATTGGCAGAAGGGTTAATGGGATTGTCCAGCCCTTTCTCTGTGTGGCTTAAACCCAGGTCACCATTGCTTTATACATTTTCACTTAGCACAGATTTGTAATTATGCATGTAATAAAGCACAGCCTTATCCAACTGGTGTCTGGTGTGTTTTTGGAGATCCTAAATTTTGTAGCTATTGATTTCTGATCATAAAAGCAGGGGGGCAGGGTGTGGGAGTTGGGGGAGGGCAGTGTAAAAGGCAGCTGCAAACCCCTACTTTCAGGCTTACTTCTTTTTTGGGGGGGGGAAGATTAGCCCTGAGCTAACTGCTGCCAATCCTCCTCTTTTTGCTGAGGAAGACTGGCCCTGATCTAACATCTGTGCCCATCTTCCTCTACTTTATACATGGGACGCCTACCACAGCATGGCTTGCCAAGCGGTGCCATGTCTGCACCTGGGATCCGAACTGGCGAACCCCGGGCCGCCAAGAAGTGGAACATGCGAACTTAACTGCTGCACCACCAGGCCGGCCCGCAGGCTCACTCCTTAAAAAGATTTATTAAATCCTTAATTATTTTTACATTTATAGATTCAGTAATACTTTTTGCCATAAGGAGACAAGTGAGGGGCAGGTTGCATTTTCTGCGACATTTCAGATACCTCATTCATTGCGGCTACTTAAGTGTTTGTGTCTCGTACATTGGTGATACTTTCCTGATCACAGGCGAAATAACTGGGAGCTGTATTTTTTCTCTCTTTCTGAGCTTTTAATGATGTAAGATTTGGGTTTTGACAGGCCTCTTGCCTACAGTCACTTCTTACAAGGAGTAGGATGAGAGATTGAAATGTTCCTCCGGTGAATAGTAGGGTCAGTAGTACCCTCTTTATGGTGTGTTGGGATTCAAATGTCTTCTGTGGGAAACCCTCTGAAGTAACAGAGGAAGAGCGGGTGTTTTGGGCAGGCGGTTGAATATGCAGACATTTCCTTTGCCTACCTCTCTGGAACACAGAAAACAAAGGAAAGCTATACTTTATGGCTTTCCTACTTTCTCACTCTGTTTTTTCCTGCATCTGATTCCTCCTCCCCTCTCCCCTCCCTCTCTTTGTTAGCCAGACCACTAGTAAGACAGTTTACCATGTGTCCAAGTTTTCATTTAAGAATTTCTCTCGATGCTGGCCGAGTGGCGCAGCGGTTAAATTCGCATGTTCTGCTTTGGCACCCTGGGGTTCACCGGTTCAGATCCCGGGTGCGGACATGGCGTCGCTTGGCAAGCCATGCTGTAGTAGGCGTCCCACGTATAAAGTAGAGGAAGATGGGCATGAATGTTAGCTCAGGGCCAGTCTTCCTCAGCAAAAAGAGGAGGATTGGCAGCAGATGTTAGCTCAGGGCTAATCTTCCTCAAAAAAAAGAAAAAAATTTCTCCAGTTAACATTTGATCACATCTGCATTGGTGTTGAATTGATATCTTGTTGCTACCAAGAACTTGAGTATCTTTGGCCCAATTGGTATCATTTCAGGAAGGATACCTCTATGTAAAATTAGCTCCATCATAAGCCTGAAATCCCACAAAGAAATTTCAGTTTTTGATGTTATTTATCATTTTACTGGGACCTTTCCACACTATCGCCATCCCTGCCTCTAATCTAAATACCTTTTGAGAAAAAACAATACATCTAGCTGTTACCAGCCAAGGACAACAGCTATGGACTATGAATTAGAGTGTCATATCTAGTTGCTGTAGGGCTCAGATGAAAGTGGCTTTGATGGAGTATGAGGTACAGATCCATCCGTCATCTAGTACAGGAGCTGCCCAGGGAGAAACCTGGAAATGACCACCAGATGTCAGTGCAATCATTAAAATACTGACGTAGCTATGGTTTGGTCAAGAGAACTGTGTCTGAGGGTAGGCAGGGCAAGAAGCATTAATTCATACCTATAGCTAGATGCTGGGAATATGCAATTCAGTAACAAGATATTTCTTAGTTTATCAGACATTCTCTTTTTAATGGAAATAATAAACTTTATGCTTTTTTATTATTAAACAAAATCAATCACATGGCAGTCCCTCCCTTTAAGGAGCTTATCATCCTGATGTCTGAAAGTTGTAGTTTCTTTTTCAAAGTAGTCTCCCAGAAACAAACAGTGAGGAAAGAAGGACCCCAGTTCCTCCCTCATTAGGATGGCCATATAATTTGTTGTATGATTAAGACGCTTTTGACAGTGGGATGGTGATGTTGATTACCCAAGGACAACACGGACAAACTGGGACTATCCCAGGAGTCTTAGTCAATCTGGGCTGCTATAACAAATTACCAAAGACCGGTGACTTATAAATGACAGTAATTTATTGCTCACAGTTCTGGAGGCTGGAAGTCTGAGATCAGGGTGCTAGCAAGGTTGGGTTCTGGTGACAGCCCTCTTCCAGCAGACTTCTCATTATAGCCTCAAATGGTAGAAAGAGAGCTAGAGCGCTCTCTCAGGTCCCTTTTATAAGGGCACTAATCCTGTTCATGAGGGCTCCACCCTCCTGACTTCACCACCTCCCAAAGGCCCCACCTCCAAAGACCATCACATTGGGAGTTTGGGTTTCCACATATGAGTTTGGGGGCAGCGTGAACATCCGGTCTATAACACCAGGCAAACCAAGAAGTGCAGTCATCCTTCCTCAGGAACCGCCGGGTCTCCTTTGGACCCTTGAACCAGGTTTCCCAAGCTCCTTCCCTAGGATCTCAGGCTCTGCGCCTCCCTTGAGCTCCCAAGGCCCCTCTCCTGGCCTCACTTCCCTCCTTCAGGATAAGCACTCTCATCTTAACTGCTGTTGAGATGTGGGGTAAGGGAGGTGTTCAAACAACCACAAGTGAAAAAAAAATCTTATTTTCAAAAACAATAATAAGACTCTAAGCAGAGAGCAACATTCAGGGTAATAGACAGATACTTTTGACTTTTGGGTTCCCTTAGGCCTACTCAAGTCATTGGGTTGAGGAGGTTCCATGACTATACATTGCCCACTGCTAGTGTCTCTAAATAGACATTATAGGATCTTGATTCAGGAGACTGCATACAGAGTGGAAAAGGCGTAGAATTTGGAGCCAGAAGACCTGGAGTCGAGGCTTACTGTAGAGAAATGGCTACCTTCTTCGAGAAAACAAAACTCAGGATCTCTAAGATTGGCCTTAGAGGGAGCGTCTCCTCTTCAAAAGAGGTTTCTGGACCTCACCGTATGGCTTTGTGTTCCACAAGATTCTCTTTACTGTTGAGGCAATTTTTCTGGTTACCTCTCTGGTATAGGTTGAGGTGGAGATCACTCCTTTTTAATATGCTAGCCCAAGTGTGCATATATATGTGCAGCTGAGATGGAGGTAGAAGTTTTAATCTACAAACTCGAGGAAAATAAAAGGAATCCAGTGTGATGTGCAATGAGCTCATCTGGCTGACCCTGGCTGTGCATCAGAGTCGGCTGAAGTGGATATTAAAATATAGATTAAAATATAGTGGAGATTCAAATATAGATAGTTTGGTGTCAGGTCTTGGACTAGTGTTTGGAAAACCATATGGGGATATTACAGGCTTCATCTGCCCTGAAGCCTTGTCAGACTCCTATATGGTGGGCACCATCTTAGTACCTTCTGGGAGAACTCATTGTCCCACTTTTTGGTCCTTCTTGTATCCCAAGTATGAGATACAGTGCCTAGCACAGAGCAGGACCTTGGAAAACACAGTTCTGGTAGAATGGCTGGCTGTACAAAGCTTGCCTTCTTAGTTCCTGTTTCCTGCCTGAAGGTATAGCTCTTACCTAGATGTACACCGCCTTCCACGGCCACCACACTTACCCACCCACAAGCGATTCTTATATATGTTACAAGTCACAACCTGATAATCGCCATCTCGTCCAACCCTTTGTAGGTGATGTTTATTTCAGGCTCTGCTACTTATTCACCACGTGATTTTAGGCATGTGATTTGATCTCTCTAAATCTCAGTAACTTCATCTGTAAAGAAGGAATGACGATAAAACCTGCCTCATTGCACTGTTCAAATGAATTGAAAGTAGGTATGAAAACTGGGCTTTACAATTTGGTTATACAAACATCATTGTTATTCATTTGGTCCTGAGGGCTAAAGGAGATAATGTATGAGAATATTCAATTCACTCAACCAATATTTATTGAGTACCACTAGGACTGGGGATTCAATGAAAGGAAAAAACAGACCCATTCCCTAGCTGACAATCGAAAGCACAGTCAATTTAGAGTGGCACAAACCAGCAGTCTAGTCTAATGACAAAATATTTTTTCCCAAGTCCAATATCTATGAGCTTGGCAGCCTCTTCTGAATATTAGCAGAATCTTGGCACCTCCTTTCCCACCAAAATGTTTCTTGATTATTTCTGCTTCTGAGACTCTGGAATATACCACAAGATCAGGGTATCCCAGGTACCCTCAAACAAATCCGTCAGCTGTGGTTGTTGGGAGGGATGCACCCACTTCTTTCCCTGTGGGTCCAACTCCCACTTGGCCACATCTGAAGCCTGCAAAGCCACTCAGAGAACCCTTCCTTGCCCTGGATATCACCCAGCCTGAAAAAGCCAATTGTACCCCTTCCTTCCTTGCCTGTCCTCCAGCATAACCTGAAGTTCCAGTTACAAAACAAAAACTTCCCTGTATATGGATGAATACCAACAGATATGAGTGTGCATGTGTGGGAGTGGAGAGGAGGGTTGTCTACACTAGCAGTAATATGCCAGAAATACTTTATGACACAAATACCTTGAATGTCACAACAACCCTGGGAGATAGGCAAAATATGAGGAAACTAAGACTAAGATTTGGTTGTGATTTGCTCAGTATCTCAGAGGCAGGAAGTGTAACAGAAACTGGAACTCAGTGTTTTTGACCCCAAGTCCAATGATATTTCTGCTACTAATCTTGTGGCTCACTGCTCCTGTCCATCCTGAGTGTTTCTAGGCCACTCTATGGGAAGAGGGTCACTGGAGCCTGCCAGGTTGAACAGTTGGCCTAGTGTTAAAAATTTACTGTGGGTAGGCATCTGTATAGGGATGCATAGAGATGATCAGAAACAATTCCAGGAAGGGGGTCTCCAAAGAGGTTTCTTTTAAAACGTGGGTGTGTAGAAAAGTGAGAAATGGGAATGCA